AATGAGAATTGTGATTTATAAATTTGTGATTTATGATAAATAATTTATGTTGTATGAGTTATGACTCATGAGTTATAATTTATCATTCATGAGTTTTGATTTGTGATTTGAGAATTTAGGTTAAGGAAATTTCAAATTAGGGATAAGTGAAAAAAATTAAAGGAGAAGATGTTGAGCTCATTACACAGTGTTTTTAATCAATTTTAATTGAAAAATAAATTGGGGCATTTTGCAAATTATGGAGCGATTTTTTAACCTGAGCGATTTCTTGTACATCTGCAAGTGTTTTTAGCTATATTTTTATTACCGACTTTTATTTCATACCCAAAGTTACAGGAAACAAACAATATTTTTTCTTAGAAAATTAATAAATTTTCAGTTAATATTGCAATAATTTATAAGTTATTAGCTAACATTCTACGAAATCCTTCCACTGTCTACGTGAATGCCAAAGACTAGCTAAGCTGACTAAAGTTGTCTTTAAATTTTGAAATACCGTTTACGGGAAGTCGAACTGAGGTTGCAACGCAACATCAAATTTACCATTAGGGTTCAAAGAAAAAAATCAGCTTCTACAATCATTAGTAAATATATGAATCTCAACACTACCAAATGCTTACTTAAATAGAAGCGTTTTATACAGCCACTTAACGTCATTAGTTAGATTACTAGCTTCTGACAATTCTCATGTAGATTTCACATAAAATTTCCCTAATTGCTTGCATTACTGATCTTAAATTATATGAATAGATTGCCATGCAGTAGTTATCATGAAGCTGAAAATCTTTGTTTAGGCACATCGCTATTACGATCGTTGAGTCAACGGTGAACGAATGACTTCCGCCCTAGCTGACCTCCGGACCTGGGTCCGCCCCTGGTCGTTGTTAGTTCTTAATTTAATTTTTAAAAAAAAATCAGAACAAAAGACAATATGTCCTTTTTTTGGCGATGATTAAAATTAATTTTTTTAATATATTTTGATAAAAGTTGATGAAATATGTGGTTAAAAAGTTATGAGTTCCATGAAATGTGTTGCTAAAATTAATTAATTATTGATTTTAACTTAAATTAAAATCTGATATTCAAATTTCCACCAAACTAGGCTTATATATGTTATTTTATGTCATTCAACTAAAACTGAATATTAATTTCATGTACCATAGTGGTCAAGGCTCTAATCTTTAGGAAAGTAGCGCGGGTTTGAATCTCTCCATGCAAATTTGATATAAGATTTTGTTCCGGACTAATTGATAAAAATGGGTTCACATTGAACTGGTTCCGATTCAATCGATTTAATAGAATTATGAACCGGTTTGGACAGATCTTGGCCGGTGTCATTGTAAATGGACCAAATAATGTCAATCGGACCGAACAATAGTTCGATTCGCTGGTTCACAGGTCGAACCGTCCACTCTAGTCCAATTTTAATAAATATGGTTAAAACATTATATTAGTTTTGTTATTTCTCCGTACATAAATCTTGGACTATATTAGACTTTCTTTTTCCTTTCTTGTGTTTTTCTCAAAATCAAATGTGGAGTTTGACATTATCATATCAAAAGTTCAATTTTTATTTATTTATTTTGCATAATTAATCTAATACGAGCCTTCTAAACTTATATGAACTCTTATCATATTTTATGGAAAATCTAACCTAAATCCATTCCATTAAATAAATCGAAACGTAAATATGGCAGTTGATGGCTGGCTTTACAACAGATGTTTTATGACTATGTTCTTCATTGACACACGTCAATTCTAGTTGAACACACACACACGGGCGGACCCAGGGGGGGTCCTGGGGCATGTCCCCCCCGAAATTTTATATATATATAATCATATTTAGTATCGATTGAAATATAAATTTTAAATTAAATTAAAGTTAACAATTAATTTTAATAACATATTTCATGAAATCTATAACTATTTAATTTTTATCAAAATTTACTAAAAATTTGATTTTAATCTCCATCAAACATGGGCAAAATCACAATAAATTTTATTTTTTTCTTTTTCTCTCGCATTTTAACAAAAGCTTAACTCTCCATCAAATAAGGACGAAATATTGCATTCTTAATACCATTTCTAAATATTCACCATTTAGTTTTATACGTCGTTAATGGCGTACAAAACGATCAATCGTAGCAAATGCTACAACTTGTCAAAGTAAGCCGTTCAAAATTAGTATTTAGAAAATTTCAATAATATACTAACTTTTAAAAAAAATCGACGATCGTACGCTAATCGAATCTACAAATTGCTTATGTCATCTCAAAACTTATTTCGAGAGTTACATTATAGACATATCAAATAATTCAAACAGATATCGAAAATAGTTAAAAATGCGTTAAACGTGAGTCTTAAAGAAAAACGTCGAACTCGCATTTTTAAAAAAAATAAATTCAATTACTTCATTAACATTATTATTTTTGAGATACAAATTTCTCAATGTAATTTTCACCTTTTTATTAGGAAATTTTATATGGAATATGACATCAAAATTTTTTGAAATTTTACATCCGAAAATGGAGAATCATAAAGCTGTCCTTGGAATATTGAGGTTTTCGTCGATGTTCATTTGTCGCAAGGGTGGTAATATGAGTTCAGCAACATGATCCTGCAGAGACCAAAGCATATACTACCAGGACAAAGTGCCGGATAGAATCCAAATAGATGGACAAAATGCCGAGAACAATTCCAAAATACTANCGCACTCCTGAATTGTCACTTAATATGACAGGCTTGGATAATCCTAGGACAATAAAGATAAAAACATGTCTAATCCTTGTACAATTAAACTGAACCAATGTGTCTTTTCTACAATAAAAACATGTACAAATGTCAATTTTAATAAAAAAAATATAAAGTAAAATAGTACTCAATCTGTTGTATGAAACTCAATGGCTTGTATTCTTGCCACTACTTGACTCATTGCTGGTCTGTTTCCAGGTTCCATATCAGTACACTCAAGAGCTATTTCTGTGAGTTTTAACATGCCATCATACCCTTCCCTTTCTGCAACTATTTCGACATCCAATATATCTGTCGACCAATCATTGTTTACAGCTGATCGAACCCAATCTGAAAGATCATCAGCACTAGCATCAACTTGAGCCGGCTCCTTGCCCGTAATGATCTCTAAAAGAACGATTCCAAAACAGTATACATCTGCTTTTCTTGTTACTTTCTTCCCTTGAGAGAATTCCGGGGTTTTTCCTACAGCCAATTGCTCCAAGGATAGCACAAGGGGGGAGAATCCGTAATCTGTGATCTTAACACGGTAAATGTGGTTTTCTCGTTGAATAAGAATGTTGGAGGACTTGAGGTTTCCATGTGGCACCATCTTGTGAGAAGGCAAACACTGGTGAAGGAAATTCACTCCTGCTGCAATTTCTTTGATGATGGATAGCCTTGCATTCCAATCCAGTATCGTCTCTCTTTGATATCCTCTATTCTCTGTCACCCAAAATCTTGGCAAGTCATGAATTTTGTGAAAATCTCAATGCGTGGCCAAGGAGAGAGTGCGAAGTACTAACCGTGTAGTAGGGCAAACAAGTTGCTACTAGGAATATATTCATAAATGATTAGCTTCTCGTCTTTGGAGTAGTAAAATGTAATGATCTTGACAAGGTTCTCATGTTTCATCTTTCCAAGCAAATGCATCTGCTGGATGAATTCCTTTTTACCCAAATCCTTCATTTCGTCAAGTCTCTTGACAGCAAAATCAGAACCACATTCTAGCATAGATTTGTAAGTAGTGCCTAGTTTTCCTTTTCCAATTACTTCAGCCGATGCACGAAGCAAATCATCTAGATCAAACATAGTGCGCCTATCCTTGTCGAAAAATTCCAATTCCACTCTTCTTTCTGGATCATCTGTGCTCTCCGACCAGTGCCATCGCCTTCTTATAAGGTCTATAGAAGCCTCTCCTGTCAAGGAAATTAGAAGAGAAAAATTCACCTCTTGCAATATTACATAATAAATTAATCTTTTTGTTTGTACATGGCGTACCAGGATGCTCTTCTTTTGTTTCTTTTCCGATGATTCTTCTGTAATAACAGAGAAAAATGAGGATGACAGATAGAGGAACAAGGGCTGCTGCTGCTGCGATTAGACCTAGAGTCCATGGACGGAGGGCACCATTGTCATTGTCTCTCGGTGAAATAGGAGGAGGTGAAGGTACGGGTGCATTGCTCGGAACAGGAGGCAATATTGGACAAGGTCTTCCCAGAGGCCACCCACACAAGTTAGAATTATTATCATAAGAACTCACTGAGAATCTTGCAAGGACGGTCGTTTGAGGTATCTGGCCTTGAAGCTGATTGTGAGAAACGTTAAAAGCAACTAAGGATTGCTGGCCGAACGGAGGAATTGGACCTGTAAGCTCATTTTCTTGGAGCTCTAATTGTGTTAACTTCATCAGATCAACATAATCAAAGGGTATTGAGCCCGAGAAGTGATTTTGGGGGAGGAAAACAAATTCCAGGTGCTCGAGATTTGTGAGATTGGGTAGAGAACCATATAATGAATTGTTTCTAAAGCTAAGTTTACTCAAGAAAGTTATGTTTTGCAGAAACGAAGGTGGGAGAGAACCAGTCAATTTAATCCCTTCAAGTACCAAATGTGTAACATGCCAATCAAAGCAAGTAATTCCAGCCCATCTGCTATGGTTCTTATGACATGGGGGACCTGTCCAATTTGAATGAAGATCAAAAGTTGAGTTAACAATATCTCTAAGTTGCATCAAAGCATCTCTTTCATCAGGAAAATACTCATTGACGCTATCGCCCTCAGTGGATGGTCGGAACAAAAGTAAACCAAAAATAATATATATGCTTACGCGAGTAGCTGATGTCCTCATGTCGAATAGACTATCACGTCCGTAGGAGGAGAGAATGGTCACCGGTGGAGATGCGAGTTATAGAACATATATAAATATGGTTGACATTGTCCAATTACAAGATAGTTGAGGTAGGCACGATTGATAGTATTTCCAACATTTTGAGACACAAAGCGGATGCTCCAAAGTATTTATTTCCAATATTTTTATATTTAAGCATATACATATACCTGTTTTTGTTTATGTATGCATTTAAATATTCTGTCGACAGCTTGATTGCTTTCAAGACTCCGGAATTTCTAATAGCTGCTTAGCTGTTGTACAAGAGTATTGAACTTTCATAACATCCATTGTTGTAAACGAGATTTATGTTATTTATTTATGTTATTTTTTTTTATTTTTTTTTTGGAAAAAGGACTCACGCAGAAAGAATGACAGTGAATTTGTCATGTTTATCAGTTGAGATAAAGAATTCATACTCTGTTAAAGAAGCCAAATCCATTGAATACGACGAGAGTGAATTTTTTGATTCATGAGGATCTGCTCTTATTATTGCAAGGAGAATTCCATGATGGTCGATTAGCTATATCCCAACTCCCGTCCCAGCCAAAAAAAAACCCAACAAAAAGAAGACAATCGAACTCTAATAAGGTTCTAAAACGAATACAAGGATGAACACCAAGATTTAAGCATGTACTAATGAACAAGGTATATTAATAATAGTACTCAGTATAAGAACAAAATGCATGCCATGCTTCAAAAAAGAAAGGAAAATCAAGAGCACATTATTCATCATCATCAGAACTCTCATACTCCACTAGCAAACTTTTTACTACTGGGTTATCCAGCTTCTTTTCCTCTCCCACTTTGTTAAATCTGTCGACAGCACTTTTCTCTTTTTCCTTTTCCTGATCACTCACAGATTCATGTTTACCAGATTCCTGTCTACTCAGAATTACAGAGGATTGCATTCCATCGGAAGGGCTAGAAACTCTCTGCCGCTTCGGCTTCACTTCCACCATCCTCTTCAGCAAATCTTGTTGCCTAAGCATCAGCAAAAGTTTAATTTGTACTTCTATCTATAATTCTTATTTTCGCGTGCCGGAGGGGGGGGGGGGACCATGGATAATATAAGAATACCTGATTCCACTCTTTGGCTTGGGCTCAACACGAAGTGGCAATGGAACTGATGCAGGGGAGGTCTCAGCCACAGCCTTGTGATTGGCAGTTAAGGAAAATATATGAAACAAAAAGGACAAGCTACATTATTAGAGGAAATGTGTAGACATTTTTCATTTCCTTGGTTCTGGACACCATAGTTAAGCCACCAGATTGAGAAAAATACATCAGATAGCATTTTGCACATTCTAAATCATTCAATATGTGCGTAAAAGAAGGTTTATCACCACCTATAATGCTGCAATTTCCCAACTTTTCGAAGCAGACAATTAGAAGACATTGTTTTATTATTTCTTAGGAAATGTTTAAAGAAATCTCACCATCCTCCACCAACCTTTCTTGTCCAAAAGATGTATATTTTAAATACGGGTAAATTGCACCTGGGTTCATGAACCTTTGAAGGTTGTAACGATAGGGTTTTGACTTTTGAACCTTTGATTTCTACCACCCAGAGTCCTAAACGTTTCAAACGCCTGTATCAGTGTTCCTTTTGTGATGAAACCCTTTCAGTTTGATCATTTAAAGTACAAAAATTGAGTAAAATGACCATTATATCCTTAGTTTGATTTAAAACACATAAATAGAGAAAAAAAAGAAGAAAAAAGGAATAAAGAAAATAATAATAACACATACACCCTTTTCCCCATATTACCACCCAACCGAATTCCAACCTCAATTCACTTAACATATTACTTCTACAGTTCGACTGGTGTTTCTTTCAACTCACCATTGCTAATGACACAATATAAGAACAGAGGGCTGATTAATTGATTACATAAACTGCTTAGTAAAATTGAATCAAAAGATTGAAATTGGAACTAAAAATTCAATGGCCCACCTCAATAGCACTGAAATTTTAAGCACGGGAATATGCTACAGGCAATTGGAAAGTCAAAATTATTTGGTGGGGCAGAAGGCAACGAGGCCGCAAAAGGAAAGGCGGCTGTAGGATGACTAGCGGACAACGGTGGCTGTTTGGATAGGAACAGAAGGTGTCGGATGACGGCTGGTAGCTAGAGAGGGTGGGACGGGGTGAGGTTTTTTCTTCTTTCTTGTTTTGATTTGAGGTTGGGTGGGAGAGGTGATAGGGGCATGGGTAAGGGTGTCTGTTATTTTTTCTTTTCTATATTCTTTTTTTTTTCGTTTCGTTTTCTTATTATTTAATTTTATTTGTTTTAAATCAAAATAAGGGTACAATGGCCATTTTATTTAAAACTCGACCTAATGGTCAACCTGATGGTTTCCATCACAAAAGGACCTCAGCCGCAAACATTTGAAAGATTTAGGACTCTAGGTTTTAGAAATCAAAGTTTGGGAACCCCATCAATTCACATCCTTCGAAGGTTAGGGAACTCAGGTGAAATTTACCCTATAAATAATGGTGAATGACGATTTCAGAGCAACTTCTGAACAAAAGAGATTGAAAGCAACCATAACAAATAACTTCTTTCCCCAATCCAGTTAAGAAAATCTTTTACCAATTGCAGAGTTTTGCATTAACGATTCCTCATCATTACTTAATAGTACTTGAGGAGAATAAAAGGATATCTTAAAAGCAGCAAACGCACGTTTCTCAGTACGGCGTAGAAGACGTTCCGCATCTTCCTCAGCCTCCATCTGCTCCTTGAGATAAAGTAAATCATCGCTGTCCAAGGCTGCTTATTGAAACTTAACAAAGATCAAGAACTACTTGTGATATATTTTATACTTCCAATCACACACACAAGCATGACAATCAAATTTATATAAATGAAGGATCAAAATAGTATGATAGGAGGGTAGACAATTTATACCGCCTCGTCCATGAAGGTAACCTCCACGTTCTCCTGCAACCTCTTGCATCTGTACATATCAACCACCCAGTTGAGGAAGCCAAGATCCCTGCCGGGGCATGTTATCAGAAAACTCACAAATTTTCAAATTGCTGTGTTACAGGAATTCTCAATACTCAAGAATGCAGAGTAGAAGAACAAGAATGATTGAAGATTTCATATAAACCTCACTTGTACTAACTGAAATTACAAAAGTCGCTTCCATTTTCAACCTCATTGCATGTAATCTCGGTCTATCCTTTCATTCCTTCACCTATTTCACATCACTTAGAAAGTCTCCCTCTCAATTTCTAGAAGATGAGAACTGAAGAGTATTTCTTCTATTAAGGATGTCACTATAGATAATAGCCTCCAGTAGCATTATCCTCAATATTTGCATGCTACTCGGGAGACGTGAAGGACAGAAGAAAACACTGAAATATTTTGGCTTCAAATGCAGCTTAGTTTCATATAACATTGGTTAGGTAACACAGCTTAATCAAAATAATGTCACATAGCCATCTTGAATCTTGATAGAAAATCCACAAGTTAAGTATCATGCTTCATAAACAGGGCAATACTGAATGTTCCAGCAACACAATGATTATCTCTACCCTCAGAAGCTCCAAAGGAGCGTAAAAATCTCATTACTGTGTTTAAAAAACACTATTTCTAGTTTTCCCTTTTTGACAGAAGCCTGTAAAAGGATCCCAATCTTAAGAACAGATGGGGCATAAAAAGGAAATAAAAGGTAAACTTAGGAACATAATCAATTAAAAGTTCTTTAAATTATCACAGAAATATGATGCCAAATTCGCCATAAAAGTAATATTTTTACTGTCCATAATCTACAGGCTCGGAAAAGGGAGGAGAGACAGGATTCGCTAACCTTAGCGACCATACGTTGAAAAGTAATTTCTTCATCATCTACTCTGTCCTTTCCCTTCCCCAATTTTTTATCTGCGTCCAATTCGATAATCAGTTTTCATATAAACAAAGCACTTGAAAACATTCGCACAGAAAGAGGAACCTACCTTTGGGATCCGTAAGGTTTGTGTACTCTCGAACTTCTTTTCCTGCCATTTCCCGTATTCGAATTGAGCAATTCAGCTGACTTCTTGCACTCGATTACAATTACAAGAACGAATAAAGTGCTTACAATAATCTCGATTTGATGTGTGGAAAATGGAATTGCCCGATTAGGGTTTGTTTTTTCCCCAAAGTCCTTGTAATTGGAAAATCTAAAAAGGGTAATTCAGAAGAGAAAGTGGGCCAATGAGCCCAACAAAATAATGGGCCTAGTGATAGGACCCATGGACTTAGGGTCCATTGGGAATGAGCCTTGCTCAAATATTGGGCATGAAATTCAGTTGCTTTAGGGTCCACAATGATTGTGGTTTGTTATATAATAATGACATGATTAGGATAATCTTGTCATCAAGTGGGAATTAGCAAAAGAATGTTCCATCATTCATTTATAAAATATTAGTATTAAAATTAATTTTAGCAAATTAAACTACTTTTTCTTTCTCGTCCAGGGTCACTCGAACTTTCAACCAATCTTTAATTGAGTCGTTGAACTTTAATTTCCCCATTCATAGTTCACATTTCATCATCTATCACTACATGGAACCCCTAGAATTGAAAATGGTAAAAAGAAGATTATGATAATATTTATACTTAAAAGTTTAAAATATGTGTTCTTTTATTTTAATCACTTTATAAAGTTAAAAATTATATGGCTAACAACTAGGAAATTTACAGGAAATGAGTACACACGAGGGGTTATAGAATCGTGCGTCCCCCTCAACAATTTTAGGCATCTCGGGATCTCATGACAAAATTCAGTATGCTCTCATATATAGTTTTGCATTCTGACTAGACAATCAGCTACTCTATTTGCCTACTTAGGCCCTGTTTGAGCTAAATTATTATAGAATGAAAAATATAGTCGTTATTGGGGTCCACATAAGATATAATTTAAATTTAAATGATAATATGATAGATAACGGTCATATTTTTCATTTTAATAAGATAATAATGTAGATAAAACGGGGGCTTACATACAAAAACAAAAGTAAGATTCAAAAATCTATGATCAAGTGCTTTTATATCCAAAAAAAATCAGATTGATCTCCACGGGCAAGACTTCACTCCTGTAATGCAGTCCACTGCAAGCCTGTTGACCTCCTTTTGTAGATCGGTCATCTGTTCAATCTGGAATTCCATCTCTTGCTTGGTTTCTGGTACTGATTTAAGTTCTTTTGTTCAAATCAATATCTATGTCAGGCTAGATGGGATGGCTCCTACNACTATAAATATAATAAAGACAATGTAGATAGCTGAACATAATTAGTACAATTTTGTTATGTGTAAACTTTATGACAATAATATTTACTTGTTTATTTATAGTGAAACTTGCATTAAGATTTTATTTAACCCTTGTTTGATCCACATTTTTTTTTAAAGACACATTTTTCAATAAAATAATATTACACGTAAATTCAAATTATTTCCTTATTTTTAAATCACACATTTTCCATCAATATAATATTTCAAAATGCATTCTTGAAAAAAAAAAATGGGCTCAAATATGCTCTTAAATAATCATTTATGAGGGGACAATTATTAATCTTTACACTAAGATCACGTTTCTTTTGGATTAAAATTCAATTAAAACATCAAGTCAAAGTCAACAATTAATTTTAAACATTTCATGAGATCCACAACTTTTTAACAATACATTTCATCAACTTTTATCAAAATCTACTAAAAATCTTTAACCTCTACCAAAAGGGGGCTAAGTTTCACCTCGATCACCAAAAAATGTTAAAAGGTATTTCAAGCGCATTTCTTTCTTTCTTTTTTGTTTTTTTTTTTGGATAAATCGATGAAATTAAATGGAATGATTCACTAATTACGAGAGAAAAATAGTATATAAGGGATTTAGGTCCAACCTCTAAAAAATAATTATAAAATTAAAAATATTTTTGGAGTATGGAGTACAAAGTAAACTCAATAGAATTGATCTCCTGCTCCTAGTGGACAAGATAAAAAAATTTTACTGTTCATGTGACGAGAAAAACTTTAATTATGATTCTTTGAATGTATAACTTTTGCAAATCCTGCCCAACGTGGGACTAGAAATCAGATCTAGCAAAAATAACTATAGAGGGTGTTTGGTGTAGATTAAAATCAGATTTTAAGTGGATTGTGATAGAAGTTTTTGAAATGTATGGTTGAAAAGATGTGGAACCCATGAAAGATGTAGTTAATATTGATTGTTTGAGTTTGGCTTAAATTAAAATTCGGCACAAACAGGCCCATAGTGTCATGAGGTAAACAAGAGACACGCGATCAAGTTTAAAATTGTGCTATCCCAATTCATGTTATCCACAAATTTTGATAGATTCAGAAATATTATTTATTTATTTGTCATTCATTTTTATCTATATTGTTTGACACCCTCTTAAAGTTCGATAGTCAAACGAAAATGATCATTTTTTAGGTTTTTAGTGTGCGGGCGAATCAGAAAAGTTTGGGTATAGTCGGATCTAAACGTTTGCTAGATAAATATCGTTTTGGGCTAGAAATAGACACGGAGGGATTACATTAGACATCGTGATTTGTAGACATTTGCTCTAATCCTTTTAACTATAAATTTTTACCGTGGCGCGTAGGAAAGAAAGGTTGTGAAGTGCGTGACATAGGGTTTACATGTGGACCCCATCCACCCATGTGCCCTCCTCCTGTCTCCACCAGCTCCTGCCGCTCAATCATTAGTCTCTTCGTTCTCCCATCTTCTCATATTCACTCTCAATTCCCAAATCAAACACATCTAATTTCATTTCTATTCTAACTCAAAACCCTCAATTCTTCCTCAATTTAGTATCTAGGAGAATTCTGTACTGTCGCTGTTAATCAACTAATCAGTGAAGTATCTTTATTAATTCTACTATGTCAACGTCGGCAGCTGACGGCAACGGTGATGGAGGAGCAATTATAGATCCTTCTCAGAGGGCCGGAGGCAGCGGGAATAACAACGGCGCGTTGGTGGTGAAGAAACCACCGGCTAAGGACCGCCATAGCAAGGTCGACGGCAGAGGCCGCCGTATCCGCATGCCTATTATCTGCGCCGCCAGGGTTTTCCAGCTGACTCGCGAGCTTGGGCACAAGTCTGATGGACAGACGATTGAGTGGCTTCTACGCCAGGCGGAGCCTTCGATTATAGCTGCCACTGGTACTGGTACTACCCCAGCCAGTTTCTCCACTGTCTCTGCATCTAACCGTAACTCTTCTTCTGTCTCTGCTGCCCTAGACCACAAGTCTCATTCTCAGTCTTTGCTTGCACCAACGCCGTTCATTCTCGGTAAGCGTCTCCGTCCAGACGATGAAGACCAACACCACATATCGAAAGATGATGTTACAGCTGCCGTGGGTCCCACGGTGGCTGCTGGAGGATTTTGGGCTTTGCCTGCCAGGCCAGATTTTGGACAAGTCTGGAGCTTTGCTGCGCCTCCTGGTGAAATGGTGGTTGCAGCTGCGGCATCGAATCATCCCCAGCAGCAGCAACCTTCGGCTTCCTTGAGGTTTCTTCAGCAGCATCAGCCATTGGGAATTGGGGAAGCATCAGCCGCAAGGGTTGGTAATTACTTGCCCATAGCTCAAGTACAAGGGCACCACCTCAATTTACTGGCATCTCTATCCGGTAATCCACCTCAATCCTCTGAACAACGAAGAGAAGGTGATGCGAATTGATTGTTAGTCGGGATGTATGCCAATCAGAGTGCTGTAAGAGAATCCAATTCGTAGTTTATTGTTGATCAGATGTTGTTTGGTGTTAATATTGCATATGCATTGTATGTTAAATTGTTAAGTCAGCAGTTGTCTTTTTCGTTGGTTAGTTGCTTGTTGTGTTTTTAGAAGACACAAGATAAGTCCAGTCCCGTAATTATCTAGCTCTAGCTTCAATAGAATTAAGGTGTTTGTTATTGTGAATTGCATTGTGGTTTCATGGTATTGATGCTGGTATTGACAAATTCGATCTCCAGTATTTGTGTTCAGATTTCAGAGTGTCATTGTAGTTTTTGCTTGGTTGATTGAGTACCTCAATTCATGTAAGATTATTAGAACAATAAATGGAAATTGCTTCTGGCTATTTTGCCTATTGCTTTGTTTCTCTTGTTTCACTCCTTCTAGGGTATGAATTGAGAAGTAAGTTCTCTTTCAAAAAAGAGTTTAAACCATTCTCTCAGTACTTCATGCTATGCGATTGAACTATATAGAAATCTTTCTTATTATGAAATTTGCTTAAATGAAAGATAAAAAAGCGTGAATCCTAGTTATAGTGGATGCAGCATTTGAGAATTTCTGCAATATCTCAAGTTTTCAGGTATTGATCGGTATATTTTGAAGTGTTCTCTTTTTGCACTAGAAGCTTCTTGCTAATTGTTTGTCAAGGTTTGCACTTGCAATGTTCATTCTTTTTTCTTGTATAGGTAAACTAGATTGTTTATAATGGCTATACATAAATTTCTGCTCCATGTTAAATTTACTTTTTTCCTTTAGCTGGATGAGGGAACATTCATGTAATCCATGAGGCATTGATCCATTCGAAGGATTTGTTATTCAAGTGATGCATTCATTTGTTTAGTTAGCTGTTTTGCCTTTTATCGTCATTTGAGAGTCTTAAGGCTCCATATGGATCTTATCTTTCATTGTAAGAAAAGGAAGGAAAACCACGAGGAAAGCCCTGTTCTCATGCTTGGATCCAAAGGGTAAATTTAGGAAATGAGCATGTAGACATGATCAAAAGAGAAACTTTACAATTTCTGCAATATTATATTACTCACTCCGTCCCAATTATATAAACTGAGTTTCCTTTTTCTCTTGTGCCAAATATATAGGCATGTTTCCTAATGTAGAATATTTTTTTGTGTTTTTTTATCAATATACCCTTATTAAATTTTTCCCATTTAATATGCCAGCTTCTTGAAATAATCCAAATACACTCATTTCACACTTCTTAGAAATATGGAACAACTCTCATTTCTTTTTCTTCTTCAAATTCTTTATTAATTCCAACAATAATTTAGTTTTACATACTGAAAATTAAATGGGGGTAAATTAGGAAAGATCTTAGCAAAAATCAATTTTTCAATGACATTAAAGAAGCTTTCTTAATCCGTGTGAAAAATGAAACAAGTCTATATAATTGGGACGGAGGGAGTACCATTTTTCACATTTCAAAAATATCAAGAAAAGGTGAGGTAAAATCGGTTTTCACCAGTTTCCTTCCTTCAAACCTTCCATATAAAACTTAGGAATCCTGTTTTCTAACACTTATTCTCTATAATCTTCTCTGCAACTTTTGCATTGTTATATGCTGATATTGTCNAAAGGAAGGAAAACCACGAGGAAAGCCCTGTTCTCATGCTTGGATCCAAAGGGTAAATTTAGGAAATGAGCATGTAGACATGATCAAAAGAGAAACTTTACAATTTTTGCAATATTATATTACTCACTCCGTCCCAATTATATAAACTGAGTTTCCTTTTTCTCTTGTGCCAAATATATAGGCATGTTTCCTAATGTAGAATATTTTTTTGTGTTTTTTTACCAATATACCCTTATTAAATTTTTCCTATTTAATATGCCAACTTCTTGAAATCATCCAAATACACTCATTTCACACTTCTTAGAAATATGGAACAACTCTCATTTCTTTTTCTTCTTCAAATTGTTTATTAATTCCAACAATAATTTAGTTTTACATACTGAAAATTAAATGGGGGTAAATTAGGAAAGATCTTAGCAAAAATCAATTTTTCAATGACATTAAAGAAGCTTTCTTAATCCGTGTGAAAAATGAAACAAGTCTATATAATTGGGACGGAGGGAGTACCATTTTTCACATTTCAAAAATATCAAGAAAAGGTGAGGTAAAATCGGTTTTCACCAGTTTCCTTCCTTCAAACCTTCCATATAAAACTTAGGAATCCTGTTTTCTAACACTTATTCTCTATAATCTTCTCTGCAACTTTTGCATTGTTATATGCTGATATTGTCTACTTTGGCTGACACAATCCAGCCTCGGCAACAAACAATTATCTTGCTGGAGAACCCCTTTTAGCAAATTAGTGCACGGAACTGATTGCTTGCAACTGCAAGCTCACTTGATAAATGAAACATGTGATTTCACATAAATCATTAGGAGTGCCTTAGCCCTTAAGACTCAACATGTAGATAATTCCACACAAGCCAAGTCGAGTTATAACTTTTGTTTTGCAGGCAGAGATCCATCAGCAGGTACAATGTTTTCTATGCACTCAAAATTGAATCCCAGTTTCAAGCATTCATATATCTTGCTAGTAGAACAGTGGTGAAAATTTCAGACATTAATTATGTATAATTAGCAGTAGGGCAGCAAGTAGGATGCCCTTTAACTCTTTTATGTGTGCATATCTCGACTAGAATCTAGTTTTTGTTTGACATCTTGCACGCATGAAACTAGGCTCTGGTTGTCTCTTCAAAATTGCCTACGTTTCGAGCTTCTGGTTCTCAGATTTTGTTCTGAACATTGAACGTGTCTTTGAATGCATCTTTTCCAATTTTTATTTTTTTTTCATTTTATTGTTGTTGGTCCGAAGCATATTTTTAGAGTGGAATGGTAAAAATAACGGTATATATGCATGTCCGTTAATACATTAATGTTGATTCATCCTCACTATTTCCTCTTTCCTTTTATTGTGTTTCCAGTAGTAGATTTCAAAGTTCTAACTTCATTTGTCAAAAGTTTATATATCGACCCATCTAGCCGTTCATGTAGTTCATGAAGAATACGTAGAAAGATTGAGTGGTGGGAAGTGAAAAATAAAGAGACATCTCACGGTTATTGAATAATTTCTCATGTTCTTTATCGTGTCTAGTACGACTACAATATTTGTATGGTGATATGTCTTTCATTTGAACGAAAAAATAGTCACGCCATTAACTTCCACTTCTTCGATTTGATTTCGGTTTCAAAATTGCTGAAACACAAGAATGTGGGTGCTGAATGTTATATATTTATACAATAAATATAATATGTGAAAGAAATAATTAATTAAGATAAAGTGCCCAACTTCGATTTGAGGTCAGGTGTTCGAGCCACGCCTCACGCACTATATTAAAAAATCTTTGATTGGGCCTTGGGAAATAATTATTATTTTTTTAATTATTTTCCGAATTATTTATTGGGTCAACTAGCCAGTAGAATATGACAGTTTTAACTGCCCAATATTAATACCCATTACCATTGGCAATTACATCGCAACTTAATACTAAATCATGGTGGAAGATGTTACATATCTTTCTGCCTATATAAACACACTTTTGTGTATTAGAAAATAACAAGAAAAACGAGATTATATATTTCTATACAGTACAAATATTGTATTTATTTTTATAAATTTCCGGAGTACACTTGAGAGTTCTGAAAACCTTTTGTTTTTGCTGCACAATTGGTTTATTTGATCGTTATATCCTGGAGGTGATTGTCCATGGAGGTCGCAGCAATTATCGACGGGCAATTTCGTTTTAGGACATCGTGCTGTCACGAAATTCGATCTATTGATAAGTTTTTCTGCACTTTACTGTTATTCTATCCAACACTGAATTACACCAAACGTGTGTAAACTTTAAAAGACTAGTCCATATGTCTATATACAGCTAAAGATAAAAAAGTGAAAACCATTCAATGTGCAAAACATTCTATATAGTCAATGCATTTTTAAAGTTGTTTTCAATTTTAGATTAAAGTCAGAAACAAAATTTCAAATAGGCCATATGCTTATAATGTTGTTTTCAGAAGTTACTAAACTTTAAATTTTTTTAATAGTCATCGTGCTTTTAAAGGTGTTTCTCTAATGCCAACGTTTTTTTTAACGTTATTTCACGTATGTAATTTTTTAGTCGTTCAAAAAATTTACTATTCTATTAGTCACGTCATCAAAAATGTTATTTTTTAAATGAAAAGGAGTTAAGACTGGTGGATAGAAAACAATTTTGAAAATTTAGTAACGGTAAAAAAAAAAAAAAAAATTGAAGTTGACAATGTTCGTTGATATTTTCTTGATAGGAACTAAAATTTGGAGAATTTGGTTACAAAATACAAAAAAATCAAAATATGGGCAGGAAAATACAAAAGAAGGATGTGGCATAGACACGTCACACATTGGTTAGGTTAGGGGTAAACATGGTTCGATTAATTCTGATTTCAAAAGAATAGATTCAAATTATGAATCAATGATTCCCCTTCTTTTTTTTTTTTTTAAATAATGGAACCAATGATTTTTTTTAGATATGGAACCAAATTGTAATCGAACCATTCGGTTCTGGTTTGATCGGTTCGATTCCCTTGCTTAAATTTTGAAATAATAAATGGAAATTGAAATTTATCAATATATTCATAAGTTAGTAACGTATACCTAAATAAAAAAGATAAAAAAAAAATATTTAGCATATTCAACTTCAAATTATCAATCATCAAATAGAATAGTGTAATAAAATTCATTCATAAAAGTTCAAACTAACAAACAAAACATAGTCATAATTAAATACACAAACGTCAAATTCCGTCATCATACAAAATATTGTCTAATAACAATGACTTAATAATATACATGAATGAATCACTGACAAAAGTTAAATTTTTTGGTATGATTCAGTGATACACACACACACACTAGTAACCAATGAGATTTGCTATTCATTTTTCC